AGGGATCTCAGCCCAGTGCCATGTGGTCTTGTTCTTCAGCACAACCCAGCTTTGGGTCAGGGCTTCCTAGCCTTAAGGAGCCAGCCTCAGGAGGGTGTGTATTTGAGAAACGTGCAGAGCCCTGACCTGGGGCTCCAGCCTTGTCCTGCCCGCTGGCCGGGGCTGTGACCGAACACACACGCCCCAAAGCTGACCTCTCGGTGGCAGACCCTCCCAGTCCCTCCAGGGCCCTGCCCACTCCTGCTGCCTTGGCCAGCCTCCCTCCCAGCTGCCCCCCTCCCTGCCCTCCCGCCACACCCCGCCGCTACACTCCTCGTCGCTTGCCTGCACCCACCTGGATCTGCAGCCCGGTGACGCTGACCAGGCTGCCCTGGCTCAACCTTTCCCTCTCAGTTCCTGCCTCTCTGGACGGCTGCAGGCTTGGGGAATGGTCACCAGAACCCAGGTCCTCTTCTGGGGACTCACAAGGCCAGAGTCCCTATCTGAGGTGTGGCCCCAAGGTGGGGTGGAGGCCATAAACTGAGTGGCCTCCCCGTGGGACAGACCTGGCGGGAGGAGGGGGACTGTTCCAGGCCATTCCCTACGTGTCCTCACTCCCTGCCAAGAGCTGGCACTGTCCGCCCCAGCCCTCCTCAGGCTCCACTGCTTCCTGACCTTCCTCTCCCAGAGCCATGGTCACCCTGACCCGGGGTTGGCACAGACCTGGTCTATTTCCCCCAGGAGGGTCTGAGTCCTGGTTGGACCCCCCCACCCCCACCCCTAGCCCAGGGCCTGGACAAATGTGAGCGCTGAGGTGGGGTGGCTATGTGTGTGAGGAGTCTACAACAGGTAACAACAGAGAGAGACACAGAGGGACAGAGACAGAGAGACAGAGACCAAGAGATAAAGAGACAGAAAGGGAAACACAGAGACAGAGATGTGTATCTATAGAGGAGAGAGACAGGTGATGACCCCACAGGGAGGGAGGGAAGAGAAAGAGCGCTGGAGGGTCAGCAGAGGGCCTCTGTCCTCTGTCCCCAACCTGAGCCCGTGACTCAGGGTGTGTGGAGATCCGCCAGGCCTGGGTCATGGGACCGGTGAGGTCGTGGACCCCTCTATCCTGGTGATATGCAAGCTGCACGCTGCCCAGACTGGCTGCCGCAAGGCCAACGGGGTGTCTCCGTGGCTTGTAAGGGCAGCTGGGGTCATTGGTTGTGGGGCCTGCTCTGGACTCGGCTGGGGTCACCTCTGGGGGCCTCTGTGGGGTTGCCGTCAGGACTCAGCTGTGGTCCTCCAGGTCCACCTGCTGGCTGGGGTGGAGGGCGGAGGCTTCAGCAGGAAGAAGTGGCTTCTCTCTCGTGGCCCCACCCCTCTCCCCTCTGGCATCCACACACAGGTTCTGAGGACACCAGGAGCACCAGGCTGAGCAAACACTCAGGACTCTCAGACACCTGGGAACAGGTGACCACTCCCTCCGCAGAGCACCTGTCCCCACACCTACAGAAGGCCTGGGGCTTCACCCCACCTCACGTCAAGGGTGGGGGTAGAAGGGAAATGTGCCCAGGGTGCTGGTGCACAAGGCTTCCTGCAGCCTAGGTGGGAGTCCCATGTTCTGTCCCCAGACCCACCCTTATGAGCAGCCCCACCCCACCCACCTTGCACCTCCTGGCCCAGGTCCAAGTGACAGGAGCCATCAGGAGGAAGAGCGGACAAGACTGAGGCCAGGTCCCATGGCCCTGGGGTCCGGGGAGGCTGCAGCTCTGAATGTCCTGATGTGGGCCTCCCCCAGGGCCACCAGTGCTGCAGAGTGCTGGCCTCTTCCATCCCTTCCCCTCTGCTCGTTCCTGCCCGCTGAGGACCACTTGGCAGGCCACTGTGGGGCCCAAGTGGGCCTAGAGATGGTGAACGAGGGATAGGAGCTGGGAGCCAAGGTGCCCAGCGGATTGGGGGAAACAGGCACGTTTCCAGAGTTCAGGCTGTGTGTCCTGGTTGGGCAACGTGGGGAATGGTCTCCAGGGGTCTCTAGGATCTGCCCCCTTCCACTTCAGGCCCAGCGAGTCCTGATGACTCAGCTGGGAGAAGACTGTGAAAGTTTATGCAGCGAACACCAGGGGTGTCCACCCACCGACCAGGATAGTGGAGACCCTGACCCCTGCCCCGCTGCGGGCCCCCTCCCCCCAGCCCTGCCCACAGCACTGGTGTGCAGTGACTTCAGGGCCCGGTCTTCCCACCTCCGGTGGGGCGGCAGGACAGGAGTCTGAGCTGCCGACCTTGCAGCGACCCGGCTCTCCTCGCTGCGCGGCATCCGTCGCAGAGGAAATCCCGGAGGCCAGGGGAGGGGGCGGCCGCGGCGGGGGCGGGGCTGCAGGGACACGGGGCGAAGCGGCCGGTCCGCAGTGACCTTCGCGCGTCCCTAACACGGCGTGAGGCCGTTGGTCGAGAGGTGGGGGTCGCGCCACTTCTGTCCCACTTAAATGAAACGGCGTGGCCCTTTCTCTGCAAACCTATTCGCAGAAAAAAATAGGTCCTGGCCGGTCTGCGGGCAGCTCTCCGCCAAGGGTCAGATGGATTTTCAGGAGTATG